GTTGCTGTGATGCTAAACACTGTGACACTGATGTGTCAAATGTGATAATGGTTACCCATGGTGGACAGTGTTTGGTGGAGCTTCCCAATTAAAACAAGCTTGAAACCAGGAGGGGCATCCACTTCCAAAGTGGCTTTCCTCCAGAAACTCTATGAACAGTGCTCAAATCTTCCATTCATAGTGTCGCTATGAGTTGTCCTACGACTCGATGACACCTAACAACAACAATCAGAGTGAGCCTTAATCCAGTCTGACTGATGTCCTTATAAGAAAATTAAAATTTCCACCTAGAGATGTAGAGGGAAGGACAGAGATTGAAGTAACCCATCTATAAGACAAGGAATGCTTCATGAGACAGTCAGGTTCAAAACAACTATTATTCTCTCAACTCAAACTCATTGCTCTTGAGTTGTAGTTGAGCCTCCAGTGGGTTTTCATGAGACTGAAAATCACATAGGAGGAGATTCCTCATCTCGTTCCATAAAGCTACTTACTGGAGGATTCAAATTACTATGAATGGGCTGCCCTTGGCTTAGGAGTGCAATTACCTACACAGTACACTGCTAGAACTCTCAAATCCAAGGTCACCTAGTCTGTAGAGAACCTCAGTGCTAACCCAAAGACCAAGCCTCCAGGCAGTTCAAATCCACCAAGAAGCTCCATGAGACAAAGATGGGCTGTCTATGCCCATAAAATTTACCTTGAGCCCCAATGCTATTTTCCAACTCAATAGCAATGAGACTAGTATTAGTTAGTAGTTTTAAGGACTTTGACAGGATAATCTTTTTTTCTTTTTCAGACATCAATTTTTACTCCAGCCTTTGAATCAGAAACTAAAGTCAGAGTAAACAGTAACATGAGAACTGAAGAAGTAATAAAGCAACTTCTCAAAAAATTCAAGGTACTCTTAGCCACAAAACTCTGTTTTATATATCATTTTACAATAGACACTCTTAAATACACTCTTCTGAAGAATTCTTTTGAATATGAAAAATCTACTTTGAGTGATGTTCAGTTCTCAAGGATAACTTCTCCTTAAAAAGTTATTTTTCCCAGAGGAATATAAAACTGACTTATTAAAAAATGAAAATGAAAATGAAGAAGTAGATTCATGAATTAAGTCTGATTAGTTTACATAATAAAATCATTTGACAGTAAAAAATGTCATCTTTGTTTCTATTTTTTTTCCTTTGATAGATTGAAAATAATCCTCAGGATTTTGCCCTTTACCTTGTGTTTTCAACAGGAGGTAAGAAAGCTTAATTATTTTTTTATCACTTTTCTCATATCACTAATATGTCATAGCTTTTTAGTCATAAGGAAAGCAGAAGAGCAGAGTGTCTTATGCTGTGAAGGAAGGAAAAGAAGGAATGAGAAGCAGAGAGAGAAAAGGAGGGAGATGTGAAGGAAGTAAAAAAAGAAAAGGAAAAGAGAGGAGGAGAAATGAAGAGTGTTCACTTGTGCAAACGTACAGTAGTCTGCGTGGATGAAAAATGTGTGTGTAATTACTGAGGCAGTTCTTAGTATTGATAGAGATGAAGTACCCAAATATTTTCAAGTATTTTCCACTAAAACAAGTGAAAACAGATTCCTACCACTGGGCCAGTTAGCAGCAACATGATAAATGGAAAAGAGATTGAGGATGTTAACAAGTTCAGCTTGCTCAGTTCCACAATCAACACTTTTGGCACCAGCAGTAAGAAAATCAAAAGATGAATTACATTGGATAAATCTGTTATCAGAAACCTTTGCAGAGTGCAAAGAAGCAATGATATCAGTCTGGAGACTAAGTGCACCTAATCCAGGCCTTGGTCTTTGCAATTACTTGCTATGCATCAGAAAGCTGGACAATGACCAAGGACAGCAGAAGGAGAATTAATGCAGTGCTGGAGAAGAGTATAGAACATACCATGAACTATGACGAGAACAAATGCTTCTGTCCTGGAGAGGGTGACATCAAGTTGCTCCCTGGAGACAAGAATCTTGAAGCTCTGTCTCACATACTTTGCATGTTTTTCCAGGACATTATGCTTGGAAGGGTAGAGGGACAGCACAGGAGAGGAAGATCTTGGATGAGATGGATTGACATAATAACTCTAATAATAGCAGTAGGTGTGTGGGAGACAGTGAGACTGATTCAGGATAGGGCAGGGTTCAGAGCTGTTTCACATAGGGTCTCTATGAGTCAAAAGCGACTTAACAATAACAGGTTAAACCTGTTTGTTCTCTTGGTAGTCCACTGAATGTTTAACATTCTTTTCCAGCAATGCAACTCAAAGGCATCAATCCTTCTGTAAACTCTAGTCATTGTCTAGCTCTCTAATGCATAGCAAGTAATTGTGAAGACCATGGCCTGAATCAGGTGCACCTTAGTCTCCAGAATGATATCATTGCTCTTTAGCATTTTGGAAAGGTCTTTCCTCAGAGCAAGTCATCTTTTAATTTCTTGGCTGCCGGGGCCAAGAGTGTTGACTGTGGATCCATCTATCATGAGATCTAGCGATTTCTATAAATAGGTATTTTATTGTTGTTGTTGTTGTTATACACCATTGAGTTGGAACCAACTCATGGATGACCCTCCAGCTGGTGTTCAGAAGCAGGAAATTACACTGGACTCAACTGCCCATCTTGTTCCTGAAGAGCAACTAGTGGATTTGAACCATGTACTTTTGTGTTGGCAGCACAACTCCTTACCATTAATCCACTAGCACTCCCTATATAGATACAGATATATAGATATAGCTATATAGATAGATATAGAGATATAGGTGTAGATAGAGATAACTTGGATGTAAATAAATATATATTTAGATATACATTTGGAAAGATATTTATTTGGAGAAATGTATAATTTTGGTTATATATATATTTGGGGGTATATAAATATAGATATAATAGGTGATAAATTTAGAGACACACATAAATATGAACAGATATGTTGCTTGGCAGAAGTTATAACTGCAATGGACATTTATTCAAATATCATTACCAAAAGTTTGTATTCTCTAAGATCTTAAGCTAAACCTTGAGAAACATCAAAAGAAAGAACTCCATTTTCAGCTCATTAAAAATGAGTCCTTGGTGATGTGGCTTCCAGGCACTCCCCTCACCCCCTGAGTGGAGGGCTACAAGTTTCTCAAGGGGAGGCAAGGGGCAGAGATTCCAAGGCCTCTGATCACTGCCGTCCAGTAGTCACAGGACAGGCTCTAGACCCTTTCCAAGTTACTGATGGAGTTGTAGGAGACAAACACCTGACCAGAGGCAGATAGATGAAATATCCCCTGCCCTGTTCACTGCTGCCTGGCCAGAGGCAGGTGTGGCTTCCTGCCTTCTGCCTGCTGCCCCACCTGGGACAAAACAATGTACCAGGCTCATTGCATGATACTGAAACAGGTATCAGGCTGGAGGCAGGCATAGCTTCCTGCCCTCTGCCCATCTCTGCCCGGGACAAAGAGATGTTCCAGACTCACATTCAACAAGACAGTAAACCACAAATACACTGTAGGATGTGTAGAGATTGGAACTCTCATATACTGCTGTGGGGCTGTAGAATGGTACTTCTCAAAAAGTTGGAAATAAACATACTATTTGACCTAGCTAGCCTCACTATTGGGAATATCCCCTAAAGAAACCTGAGCTGTGACACAAAGTCATATACATGTTTCTTGAAATATAATTATTGATATGCATCCATGTTTATTGTTTATTTACAATAGCAAAAATATAGAATCAGCCTCAGTGACCATCAACAAAAGAATGAATAGCAAAACTGTGGTACGTTCACACAATGAAAAGTACACAGTATTGAAAAACACATACTACACAACATGGATGAGTCTGGAAGACATTTAGCTGGGTGAAATATCTCAGTCACAGAAAAACAAACACTGCATAAGAACACTTAAAAAATAAGATTTACACAAAGGGGGTGCAGTGAAAATAGGAAAATTATGAATGTTGTAATAGAATAGGTGAAGAGTATGTTGTTGTTGTTTTTGTTATGTGCTGTTGAGTCACTTGCAACTCATAGCGACCCTATGTACAACAACCCTAAACTCTGCTCTGTCCTGTGCCAATCACATTGTCTCCGACACTCCCATCCTGATCACCCCAGTCACTGACTCAGTTCACCTCATAGAGGGCCTTCCCCTCCTGTGCTGTCCCTCCACCCTCCCAAGCATAATGTCCTTCTCTAAGGACCGGTCTCTCCTTACAACATGTCTAAATTATGTTAGATGGAGCCTCAGAATCCTTCCCTCCAAGGAGCCACCCAGTTTAATCCTTTCCAGGATGAATCTGTTTGTTTTCCTAGCAGTCCATGGTACTCTCAATACTCTTCTCCAGCTCCACAGCTCAAAGGCATAAATTCTCCTTCTATCCTCCTTGGTCATTGTCCAACTTTCTGATGCATAACAAGTGATTGCAAAGACCATGGCCTGTGTCAGACGCACCTTAATCTCCAGAGAGACACCATTGCTCTTCAGTACTTTGGAGAGGTCCCTAAAAGCAGACTTTCCCATGGCAACGTGCCTTTAATTTCCTGGAAACTGGTGCCAAGAGTGCTGACTGTGGAGCCAAGCAAACTAAAGCTGTGAACAATCTCAATCTCTTCACCATCTGTCCTGATGTGCCAATTGGCCCAGTGTTGAGAATCTTTGTCTTCTTGACATTGAGCCTCAATCCATATTGGAGGTTGCAGTCCTTGACCCTCTGCAGCAAGTGCTTCAGGTCCTCCTCAGTTTCAGCAAGCAGGGTTGTGTCATCTGCATAACGCAGATTGTTGAGAGATCTTCCACCAATCTTGACCCCACATTTCTCCTCATAGAGCCCAGTCTCTTGGATAATCTGTTCTGCATACAGGTTGTAAAGGTATGGAGATAGGACACATCCCTGGCATATGCCCTTCCCAATTTTGAACCATGCAGTGTTCCCTTGCTCTGTTCTGACGACTGCCTCCTGGTCCAAGTATAGGTTTCACATTAGAACGATCAAGTATTCTGGGATTCCCATTCTTCTCAGAGTCAGCCACAGTTATGATCCACACAGTCAAATGCCTTTGCATAGTCAATGAAACACAGATAAACATTCCTCTGGTATTCCCTGCTTTCTGCTAAGATCCATCTAACATCAGCTACAATATACCTAGTACCACGACCCCTTCTAAACCCAGCCTGGACTTCCGGCAGTTCTCTGCTGATGTGCTGTTCCAGTCATTTTTGGATAATCTTCAGTAGAATCTTGCTTGCATGTGAAATCAATGAGATTGTTCTATAGTTTACACACTCTGTTGGGTAACTTTTCTTTGGGATGGGAACAAATATAGATCTCTTCCAGTCAGTATAACTATCTGAAAAGAATGTACAATTAGACATTATATGTATGGCAATTAACAATCTGAAACAAGATGTTCATTACAAAGTGAATTTGGGGGGGAAGAAAAGGGCGAAGAGGGAAATGGATAGAAGGAAGGAAGGAAGAAAATACAACCTTTGTGTAAACTGACTAAATTCACAATGTTGTTGTTACGTGCTGTCGAGTTAGTTGCGACTCATAGCAACCCTATGAACAAGAGCCATAAACACCACTCCACTGTGCCAACCTCGCTGTCTCTGACACACTCATTCCCACCACTCCACTCACAGAATCGATCCATTTCATAGAGGGTCTTCCTCTGCTGCGCTGTCCCTCCACTCTCCCAAACATGATGTCCCTCTCCACGGACCTCCTTGCAACATGCCCAAAGCATGTCAGACGAAACTTCAGAATCCTGGATTCCAAGGAGCAGTAAAAAAACCAAAACATTTATTTCAATTTATCATTTTGTGATACCTGGTGTGTCTCCTGGTGTGTATTCTTTTCAAGTGTTGTTCATTTCAAGGCGAGCCATAGAAAGAAAAGAATGGGAATGTTACCTTTCTTCTCTTTATCTATTATGATCTCCTGACTGTGGTTTCTTGTTTTCTTTTCCAGAGCAGAAACGACTCAAGAAGACAGACATTCCCCTACTGCAGAGGCTCCTACAGGGACCTTCCACAAAGCATGCACGCATTTTTCTTATGAATAAAGATGAGGAAGAAATTAGCAGTGATGTATGGACACCATAACCCTGAATCTGTCTTTGTTTCCCTTATCAGCCCACACCTTCATAAATAGTCTTTTTTTGCTTTCTCAGGTGGCTCAGTACATTAACTTTCAGTTTTGTTTCCTGGAAACCATTCTTCAAAGATTAAATGAAGAAGAGAAAAGAGAGATACAAAGAATAATAAATAAGTAAGTCAAAGGAAAACATCCTGGAAATTTTCATAGATTAAAATACACATAATGTGATCTGTTTGTAATCTTTTCCTCTTTTCTTTATTTTCAGATTCAGGACAGAAAAGGCCATTATACTGAAACATATTCAAAGTAAGCGAGTAGTAAAAACAGAGACGACAGTTTAGTTTTCTAAACCACTATTACTAAAAAAATGCCCACAAGTTAGAGAGCTGTTACTATTAGATGAGTGTATAAATGCTCTACCTGCATTCATACATCTATATAAATGAACGTGACTCTGTTGAAAATGAAATATCAAGAAATCTTGTCTCTGTTTGAAGTGATGACGGTAATTACAGTTCACAGTTGTTCCAAAAGTGGCTTGAAATGATTCTCAGTAACTGAAATAAAGAATGTTGGTGCTATAGACCTTAATGCATCTAGCTGCAACCCAGAGGTTAGGGAGCTCAGGTGGCATAGTGGTAAGGAACTGTGCTGCCAACACAAAGACATGTGGTTCAAATCCACCAGCTGCTCCAGAAGAGAAAGATGGAAAATCTCCTCCATGTGATGTACAGCCTCTGAAAAACCACTAGAAGATCAGCTATGAGTTGGTTCAAACTCGACAGTACATAACAACATCCCACCCAGAAGACTGGCAATTCCAATTCACTAGCTGCTCCACGGGAAAAAGATAAGCAGTCACCTCCCATAAATACGGGGGGAAAAAACCCAGATGGATGTTCCTATGAGTCTGAATCGACTTCAGCAGTGGAATTATTTTGGGTTTTGTTAACTGAAATAAGTTTGAATACCATGTATTCCAAATACTGTTTATAGCATTTTCTGACATCTTGCAGTTTAATATCTTTGGCTGGAACTTTCAAGAGAAATGAAATACCATCAATCAACTCTCAAATGACTCAAGAGTGAAAGGTAACACTTCTCAATAAGAAGCACATTCGTTCACCACCAAAGTCATAAGACTTTATAGTAACTTTGGAAATGCTACCATTTTCAGAAAATCTAGAACTATCTTTATATGGGTAGATGATTCTGGACTTTCTGTAACATCAGAGCAATTGGTCTTTTAGAACAGAGAAGATCATGAACTGTGTTAAGAATTCTAAAATGTCATTTTTTTCTCTCAGTCCTCTATTTGTTTTGTTTTACTGATTATGTCCAAAAACTTTCTTAGTCTTTTGTTCTGAGTTGGATAAACTATTCTATGATTTTTTTCTTATTTTACCAAACAAATATAACTGAGACTAACTATATTTCATCAACCAGAATAGTACTCCTAAGTTGCAGATTAAAACTGTGATCCCTGGGGAGGGTTTTCAAAGCTGTGACCTTTTGTAAGGAAATATCAATCCTTTGCTCCAAAGATCTCTGAGTAAGTTTGAGATCTCTGAGTAGGTTTGAGATCTCTGAGTAGGTTTGAGATCCCTGAGTAGGTTTGAACCACCAACCTAGAGGTTAACAGATGAACACTTAATTGCTGATGCTACCAATCTAGAGACAATGTTGTTACCATGAGTTGGAATGGATTTATAGGTAACCGCCTTGGTTTTATCTGTTTTGGGGTTTGTTTGGGGTTTTTGTTTGTTTGTTTTGGTGGTTGGTTTTTTGGGTTTTTTTAGGAGTTATGACTAGGATAACACTTGACCACAATAATTGTTGATGAACAAAAAGAGCAGATAAAGCAAAGATAGTGTGTCTGCAATCAGTCCAGGGATATGGAGCACAACTCTCTCACTACCCCTCTGACACTACAAGACGACCCTTGGAAAACTTCTTCAAATAGTTACAGGTCTGCTTAACCTATTTAAAAAAAAAAAATTGACAGTTCCTAAAAATGAAAAAATGTCAAAAGTATCACCTATGGATTTATTTATTGTTTACTAAAATGAGGAGCCATGATGGTATACTGCATAACAAGTTGGGCTGCTAACCCAAAGGTCACCAGTTCAAATCCACCAGTTACTCTTTGGCTAAAGATAGACAATCTCCTCTCATAAAGATTTACAGCCTTGCGAATCTGGTTGAAGGTCATCCTGAGTCAGAATAGACTCCCAGCAGTGTGTTATATACTAAGGTGGAGCTTTATGTAACATTCTTCCATTCTCTAACCTGCATACATTTGTACCACTCATATCTTTTACTGTAATAAAAGTCTACAGGGCAAAGAAAAAAAAGTCTGTAAGTTTCAAAAATTCTTAAGAAAAACATCAAGACTGTAGTTTTAATGTAAAGTACTCTGATAGAAAGGAACTCTAATGGCGCAATCAAAGGGTGAGCCCTTTGAACCCACTGGTTGCTTTGCAAGACAAAGACATGGTGAGAATCTGCTTCTGTGAAGATGACAGCCTTGGGAGCCCTGTGTGGCAGTCCCATTCTATAGGGTGACTGGGGCAGCAGGGAGTTTAATAGGGAAAAAAATTGAAAGGCAAATGACATGAAAATACCTAATGAATTTGAATTTAAACTATTTTCAGACATTATGCTGCTTCAGCTTCTTCTGGCTGCAACACTCAAGAGAATGGAAATACCAAGCTAACTCTCAAACACGACTAAGAAGTAAAAGCTACTAGTTCTTAAAAGGAAACGGAAACACTTTCTTAATAGATAGAAGAGAAAGTGCAAATGGCTAGTTAGCAAAAGGGAACATCTCAACCTCAAAGTAATCAACTTTATTGGTCTGTGACCAATGAGGAGAAAAAAATAATCACTCAGCCATTTAGTAGACCGTTAATATGATTAGCTCTGAGGAGCCTTCATGTTGCAGTGGATTCAGCAGAGGGTACTAACAAAATGGTGAGTGTTCAAACACATGAACCACTCTGAGGGAGGACAGTGAGGCAGCTACTTTTACACCCTTGGATTCTACATCAAGATTTTACACCCTTGGAAATCTTATGGGAAGTTCTACTCTATCGTGTAGGGTCACTGTGAGAGAGAGTTGACTCAATAGCAGTGGGTTTTGGGGAAGAGAGTAACTAGAAATATACAAGGAGAACTCTCAGGCTGAAGAAGTGTACCCTAAAAGGAGTAACTTGGATTAGGGGCACAAAATACACAGCAAACAGTGGGATGGTAGAGATATTTGCCGAATTGTCCAAACAAGAGCTGAGCCACAGCAGCCAGACGAGGCAAGTGGGTAAGGAGTAGACGGAGTCAGGTTTCACCGCAGACACAAAGCATCGAGTTCCAGACATTCATGTCCCACAAATCAGAAGAAATAAACCTTTGGGAGACATATAAGTCAGGGCTGGTGAGTGTCACAAAGGAGTTGGATATGCTGAGGGCACTGGGTCACCACTGTGAGCTGCTGGGATTAGAAGCTGGAAAACTCACGCCTTTCTCAGGCTTGGACTTGAGCAGTTTCAAGAGGCTGCACTGAACACAGGCTAGTTAGAGGGCCAGCTCCATGGTCTTCTATACGAACATGCATAGGATCAAAGAGGGAGCATGGAGACCAAGTGACTCGAGCTAGGGTATAGCGCTAAAGATGAGCTCCCAGCTATACTTAAAATTACCAGTTGTCGTTGAGTACATTCCGTGCTAGACAGGACTGTTCAATGGCTGATTGATTTATTTATTGTAAGCAGACAGGCCATCCTTTTGAGGTGCCTCTGTGAGACTCAAGATACTAACCTTTCAAAAATTAGCAGAAGTTTGCACTATCTATGGACTTCTCAAACTTCTCTAGAAACCAAAACAAATCCACTATTGTCAAACTGATTCCTACGCATAGTGACCCTTTGTAAAGTTTACAGGAGGAGACTGTTCATCTTTTTCATGCAGTATATCTAGTGTCCAACCACTGACATTTAGGTTAACAGAGCAGCATGTAAAACACTACACCACCAGCATTCCAAGCTGCACTGCCTCTGTATTCTAGAGGTCAAGAAAGAAAGATAGGCAACCACCACTAGAGAAAATACTCTGGGAGGAATACTGGAAGAAAATATTCTCCAGGATTCAGGCCAGCTGGGGAACTCTGGTGGTGCGGGTCATAAGGAGTTGTGCCACAGAACCAAAACGATGAGTTTTGAGCAAGCCCCAGGGAAAAAAAACCAAACCCTTCCTTAGACAATGTCTCTTTTGCGCCCTCTACTGACTAACTAAGCTAGCTGCAAAGGAAATTCCGAAAAGGTCCATATCAATTTTCACAGAGCAGGCAACAAATAATTAAATGGGAGCTGAGAAGCAATAAAATTATAACTAACACATTAAAAAACTATTATGCATTATCCTTTATTATAAAGATGTATTTTATCTATTAAAAGAAAAATATTAATAAATTATAATAACAAATTATAGTGAAATAGGCATGCATGAACTGATACAAGTACAAATAGATAAAATTGTTCTTTAAAGCAGTTTAGTAGTAAGTTTATCTCATATTTCTATTTCTAAGGTCTTATCTAAGGAAATAAAAACTCTAAAAATGTCTAAGGTAAGTAATTGTAGAAACAAAGATGTTCTACACAGATGTTCATTATATTGTTATTTATTATAACAAAAATAGTCCAAATGTTATCAAAAATAGAAAAAGATGAAACAAATAGAAAAGGAAGAAAAATTATTATTATAGCACGTTATAAAGCCATTAGAATTGTATTTCTGAGTATATTTAATTGGAGGGAAAAATTTTCTATTTAATAAAGAATACACATATATACACATGCATGCACATGAATGCTCCAGAACATGTATTGTCTGTAAAACTGTCACAGGCTGATTCATGTTCCTTCAAAGTATATCTGCTGGAATCTGTACCTCTGTGTCAATCAATGTGACCCATTTGGAAATAAGATTTTTGCTATACTTATGAAATCATATCAGAGAAGCATGGGCCCTATATCTATTCCATGCTAAGTTATGTCTTATAAAAAAACAGAAAACAATGGCCATATGAGTAGTCATCTTGGAAGTGATTACCCCACCTCAGAACAGTCTGCAGATAGGCGACTGCCATCCTATGTGATTTCTTGATTGCAATTTCATAAACAATTCTTCCAGAAAACCCTGTTAAACTACTCTGGAATTCTTGGTTCTCAGATTGAAATAAATGCTTGTTGTAGTTGGCTGCTAAATTGAGGAGTAATTTATTACTTTGAAACAGGAAACTAATAAAATTTCTGAGACAAAAGATTATTTGTTCATTTCAGAGATATCT